GTACCTCTGGTGCAAATTACTGACCTCTGTCATCATTTTAAGTGGGGGAACTTGCACAATCGGTGGCTGACTAAATAGTTTTTTGCCCCACTGTATCTGTTATTCTTATTATTGTATTTATTTATTTATTTATTTATTGTATGGGTATCTTATATCTTATATTTCCAGTTTGTGTTTTTATCTGTTGTACAGTGTCCTTGGGTGCTTTGAAAGGCGGTATTTTTAAATAAAATTTATTATTATTATTATTATTATTATTATTATTATTATGTTGAAAAACAAAAAAATGACATTGATTTTGTTGCGGGTCATTTTGACCCGTACCGTGTAAATCCACTCAGAATTGTCAAGAAACTGCAATAAAAAAATAGCAACTTTATTTCCCATGAGATAAACACATAGAACACAGACATACAACAGTTAGACTTCCCATAACTATTTTAGGAACAATTTGGTTTTTCCTTCTTACAAACACATTTCTTTTGAACTTGCCCTACATTCTCAGTTTTTCAATGTTCAACATTTTCAATTTTGTCCACATGATGGACAGAATGTAACTGTGTGCTTTCTGCAGATGTACTTCTTGCATTTCTCACAAAAAGTGATTGTTTTAAAACAGGAATCTTCCTAGCTGAGATTTAAAACAAAAGATTTCTACGTCTCCTCCAGACTCAAAAACAGGTGACAAACCAATCGACACACCTGAGTCACTGACTTTCTTAAATCCTCTCACTCTCACTGGCTCTGTTTATTATTAATCACTGTGTAACTGCTGTAAATTCACAGTAACTGCCATCTCCTTACAAATGTTCATTAGATTAACCACACTTATACAGACTGTATATAACAACCAACTCTACAATGTTTGTTCACAGAGAAAAGACAGGCAGACTACGCTAACGACATGTGATGTTACAACACTAGTGAAATATTAGTGTCATTTCATTCATTTCAAAGGTTTATTTGCATGATGCACAAACAGACACAATTGAAAGGTACAAATGTATTGTGCATGAAACGAATTCAAATGTGCTGCAGATGTGTGTCACAGGTTGATCTGGCTGTAGGCTGTGGCCCATGGCCAGAGGTGGCGCTGGTTGACTCGAGTCCATGTTAGTGCACAAAGTAAACTGCTCGCTTTAGTTGTTAAGCAAAAACACTGAAACCGGAGAAATAAAACGGGCGAGGGGAAGGATTACGACGACAAGAGTCTCCCGATCGTTTACTCTTGCTGTCCTGTGAACAACATCGGCATGGTGTTAATTGTTTGCTGTTTTCGCAATAGCGTCGAGCATGAGGATATCACCAGGTAAACTCGTCACATTTTTAAACATTTTGTTGTTCAACAGCATCAAGACTGACGGAGTGTGTTTGAGATAACCTCACAAGTGTCACAG